GAGAGAGAGAGAGAGAGAGAGAGAGAGAGAGAGAGAGAGAGAGAGAGGCTGTGTATGTACCTGAAGCTATTCATAGAGGGGGCTGATGGCAGAACAAACCCGAACCACACAATCTGCAGCTAGCAGCGAATCACCCAGAATAGGAGTTAACTCTCTCTCTCTCTCTCTCTCTCACACACACACACACACACACACACACACACACACACACACACACACACACACACACACACACACACACACACACACACACACACACTCTCTTGCACAAAACCATCCATTAGCTCCAAAACAAATATTTTAAATCGAACTCGACATAGAACTCGAACTGTTCCTTAGAGTAAGATTTTGGGAAATTAAAAAAACCCACAAAATATTCAGGAATACCCTCGAGAGGCCCCCGCCCTACCTAAAGCCTTCTATTTAAAGCAGCTTCAGCAGTAAGCGGGTCTTTTTCCAAACCTCAACTGAGTCAGGAAGATTTAGCAGGAAGGACGTCAAAACTAAAACAAATCAAACAAAAATATGTTTTTACTTGGTAAAATATTGCTGAGGTAAGCAGGAGTATTGTTGATTAATAGCAGTATTTCTACTTTTCTGTGCAGAATTTAAAAAAAAAACACCCTCCTTATATATTCTCCTGTCATCAGAAATGCAGGTAAAACACTAGGAAGAGGGTAGTAGAACGCAATGTGTGAGAAACCTGCCGAGTGTTTTCAATTTATCTGTGGCTTTATGTGGAAAAGGAACTATTATAATGTACAAGCTGAGACCACCCAGTGTTTAACCGTCACACACATAAAAAAAGCTTTCCTACAACTCACAACTGTAGCTCCGCCTGAGAGAAACACACACACACACACACGTGTACTTCCCATGTGTACATATGCTAAGAGTGCACATATGTGTTGAAGAATTTAAGCACATTCAACTACTGCTGCTTCGTCGAGCTGTATTGTTAGAGAAACTGGAGCACCTAAAGTGCACCTCGTCGCTGAATAACAGCCTGTGTGAGGAAAATGTCAAACCCTACATGGTGGAGAGAAATGGGGCAGAAAATGAAAGACATTATAAGATCTAGACACACACACACACACACACACACA